GTTTTATGACTTCCTTTGTTATTTCACTTTCACAAATCATGACACGCTGCAGTGTTTTACAGGATGCTAAAGCTGTCTCAACAGCAGCTGATGATAATTCAAATAGCCTAATTGCATTCAATTGTGGTGGTGGTGACTTGAGAAGCATAGAGCATTCACCACAGCTTAGACTTGAAAGTGAAACTTCTTGGAGATTACCAAGTTGGCACAGGACATGGATCAGTGGTTCTTGCTCTCCTTCCTTGAATCTGTTGCCTTGAAAGTCAAAACGCTCTAATTTTTCCAATCCTGCAACCTTACGTAAGACACCTTTCACCAAAGCATTTTTGTCAGCCATTATTCCTTTTAGAAATAGCTCGGAAATAGTTCTTCGAACAGACTCAGGCATATTCATCAAAGCACCAAAACCTTCACTGCCAATTTCATTAAGAGAAAACCCAATATACTCTAAGCATGGGTTTCCTTTTAAACTTTTAGGAAGATCTGATAACCCAGAGACAAACATTCTCACATGCTGTACATTTAATGAACGTAATGTGAAACGACACCTCCAAGTGCACGATGACAGGGCAATACATCTACCCAGAGCATGAAAATCGTCTTCTTGGTGGCCTCTCTCAATACGAACTACTTCAATTTTATCTCGTTTATTCAAAGCTACAGCAATTTGTGCTTCACTTTTATTAGTTTTGTTTAAAAGCTCACGAAAGAAATTTAGGTACTTAATTTTATCAGGAATACCATCATCTGTTCCTTGGACTTCTAGATTTATAAAAGGAAAGGAGTGATTGACATTAAATAATAATGATGCAACCAAAATGCTGGCTATTACCTTTAGCAGATCGATCATCCTCAGGACGCTGACTAATTTTTTCAGCATTATGAGCTCTTGCTGTTGTAGAAAATGAAAAACCGCCAAAGTAAACAATAAGAGTGATGATATAATAATAATAAGATGTTTACCTTTTGCTTTCATTCTTGCAGATATTTCCTTCAATTCCTCACAACGATCAAATATTGACAAACTATTTTCAAAAGCTACTTTGGGATCCCTTCCTTTTCTCAGAAAGGCTCTCATACATGTCATAAGTGCCTTGCACCCAATGACAGGACATTTTTCGAATATGCGCAGCAATTTTTCTTTTTCCATAGGATTATGGAGCAGTTTAGCTTCAACCAATTTGCGGAGAAGACCAGGGCTCGCTTGAACTTTAATAAAAATTTGATTAGAGAAGTCGTCAAAGATTTTCCAGCAAAAGTCGTCTGGGTAGTCTGTTCTACCACCTTGTGCCATAGCTGCAGTGTCAGTTATAGATCTAGGTGGGGTACCGTAGTTTAATGATAGGTGGGGTACCGTAGTTTAATGATAGGTGGGGCTGAAATCGAAATTCATAATGGCTCAACCTCGTGATGAGGGCTCATCTTTATTATTATCGCTAAACCATAGCTCAAACCATGGACCCAGCATACAAGAGTCTGTGCAGATTTCTCCATCACATAAAAGATCCTCATTTTGTTGCCAGAGACCCGAGCGACTGTGGAGCACTAGTATTGTAGCCCTAGCAGCTGCTCTGTCTCCTCTAGTAGGTGGATATGCACTGGGATATCCATCCTCTTCTCTTATCAACTTGAGCAACATGACACATAACCGCTCCTTGGTAAACGGGTCTGTTCTTGTTGACACTTATGGGGTGAGTCAGCTTACAAAATGGGTAGTCTAGTTTACATTAATTTATTAACACATGCAGGCTTTAGTTCCCTTTGGTGCATTATTTGGAGGAGCAATGGCCGGCTTTTCGGCTGATACACTTGGACGTAAGCCAACAATTATCATAGCACTGTTACCATATTTTGTGGGCTGGATACTGCTTGGCATTTCATGGTTCATTAACAATTCAATTGCTTTTAAAGTGATCATACTAGTTGGTCGTTTCATAACTGGCTTTGGAGCAGGATGGGCCACACTCGTTGCACCAGTAAGTTATTTTTAAAGTTACCCATTCTCTTGTACAAACAGCACGATTCATTCATAATGCATATATACCTTATATGGTATCATATCATCTACATTACAAACTGTGACACTATTGTTACTATGTAGGTGTACGTCGGAGAAGTTTCTGCTCCTTCACTGAGAGGGTTTTACAGTTCACTGCCACAGCTGCTACTAAATGTTGGGATCTTCCTTATATACTGCATTGCAGTTATCCCTGGCATTGAGTACTACCAAACTGCTTTCATTGCAGCCGGCATGAGTTGTATTGCATTTCTCATTGTAATATGGCTACCAGAAACACCTCGGTTTCTCATTGCCAAGGAGAACTTTAAAAAAGCTTTGAAGGTCCTTGTGTTTCTACGAGGACCTACTATGAATGCTCAAGAAGAGATAGCAGAGATTGAAGGAGCAATTGCAAAGCAAAAGAAGCTCTCTTGTATTGAGACCCTGCGTGAGATGAGACATCGTAGTGTCTACCTTCCGTTTATATTAATGCTTATGGTGATGTTCTTTCAACAGTTTTCAGGCATAAACACGATTGCATTTTATGGCGAAATAATACTAAAGGATGCAGGGCTGAGTCAAGAAATGGCAAAGTACATGGCCCTTTTGTCCATCGGTCTTTGCCCTGTTATTTTCACGCTGCCTACCGTATTAACTGTTGATTTAGTGGGACGAAAAATCCTCCTAATGGCCAGTGCTTTAATCATGGGTTTCAGCTCGTATGGCTTAGGTCTATTCAATAGATACGAGAACCTCAATATATTGGGCATCGTGTCAATGATATGTTTTGAGTTTGGATTCAGCATTGGATATGGACCTATACCATGGATTATGATAGCCGAAATGATACCTTTACGAGTTAGAGGTCAACTTGGTGGTATACTGGCTGGGTTCAACTGGGGCTGTGCTGCATTGATTACTGGATTCTATTTTGTCTACGTTGAATATGTTGGAGCTGATTATGCCTGGTGGACTTTTGGATTTTTAAATATCGCCTCTTTTGCTTTTGTTGCTTTCTTTCTCCCCGAGACAAAGGGAAAGAAACTTGAAGTGATGGAGAAACAGTTTGTAAACAATTATAAGTTATGTTCATACCGATAGTTTGTTTTTTTTTATCTTTTGTAGAAAATACAATAGTAATTGTTTTTTGCTGCAGCTCATACCGATAGTTTGTTTTTTATGCTTTGTAGAAAATACAATAGTAATTGTTTTTGCTGCAGAGGAGAGGGGAGGGGCTCGCTTTATATAACAGACTGTAGCAAAATAAAACTATGAAACAGCAAGCTAAAATCTAATCTACTAAAAATGCATCTACTAAAAAAGCATGTCTATTTAATAATTTGTCTCAAACATTTCTTCAAATACTATGCGCTTTTTGTTTGATAACTTCCCTTCAGCGTAATCTTTCCACTCCATTGATAGATGAATCTTAGGGATCTGCTGCTGTTGACAGGATGATAGAGCCAGGAATTCACCAATGGAACTCTCATTGAAGTTATTATGGTACAGGCTGAGGTCAGTAAAAGAACTGCCCTGCAAAAGGCGACACATTTCTGTAGTGGATCGAATGACATTATTACTGAGGTCAAGTAACTGAAGAGTTGTGCATGTTTTTGCAGCTTCAATGATACTACAGGCAGTCTCAGAGTCGATGCCGCAATTAATTAGCTTTAACGATTCAAGACAATTGCATGAAGGCAATGAAATTTTTAGGCTCCGTTTTATGACTTCCTTTGTTATTTCACTTTCACAAATCATGACACGCTGCAGTGTTTTACAGGATGCTAAAGCTGTCTCAACAGCAGCTGATGATAATTCAAATAGCCTAATTGCATTCAATTGTGGCGGTGGTGACTTGAGAAGCATAGAGCATTCATCACAGCTTAGACTTGAAAGTGAAACTTCTTGGAGATTACCAAGTTGGCACAGGACATGGATCAGTGGTTCTTGCTCTCCTTCCTCGAATCTGTTGCCTTGAAAGTCAAAACGCTCTAATTTTTCCAATCCTGCAACCTTACGTAAGACACCTTTCACCAAAGCATTTTTGTCAGCCATTATTCCTTTTAGAAATAACTCGGAAATAGTTCTTCGAACAGACTCAGGCATATTCATCAAAGCACCAAAACCTTCACTGCCAATTTCATTAAGAGAAAACCCAATATACTCTAAGCATGGGTTTCCTTTTAAACTTTTAGGAAGATCTGATAACCCAGAGACAAACATTCTCACATGCTGTACATTTAATGAACGTAATGTGAAACGACACCTCCAAGTGCACGATGACAGGGCAATACATCTACCCAGAGCATGAAAATCGTC